CCCCCAGATGTTTTACCTATGGACAGCTAGTACATCTGACACCGTAAGACATCAGTAAGTGGCTAAGTAGTGACCTTCCTCTGCACATGCACAGGACTGGACCGAGCCATAAAGGAGTTTTTATCTCTGGGGACTAAAAGCAGTATTTCAGCCACAGGCATTCCCAGGATTTCGAATAGACTGAAGGGGTTGGATGCACGGGTCCTCTCGAAGTTAACCCGCTGGCCACAAATAATTAGAACAGCAGATAGATAAAATACTGCTTAAGCAGTAATTTTAGATTGTTATCCATTGCCTGGGCACTTTCATTAATATTAAAATCCATGTGATTGGAAACAGGTGCTATTTTTATCTTTTCAAATTCCACACCAGGTCTAGTAAAGCAAATTAAAGGTCACGAGGAGTGCACCAGTGCACCAAAGGACACTGCTGTTTGGAAAGCACAGGTGTAATAAATGTCAAACACCTGAAGTTACTAGGGTTGCTTATCTACCCTGCTTTGTTAGCTTGAGGAATAACTTGAATGTCTTGCTACCTGTGGCTTTAAGCACATACAAGATGAGGCTTGACACATAAACATAAGCACTGTATTGCCAGACCATCTCTTTCAGGCAGCGGCCAATAGCAAACAAAAACAACGTAAGGAAAAAACGCTGTAACAACACCCTGCCTTTATAGGCTACTCCCACCTTCTAGCAATTTGTGGTTTAAGACTTTTCGGAAACAAAAATAACGTAACTGTTTTTGACAGTTATGTTTCACATTTTTCCTCTCTTTATGCTCTTATCTTCTAAAGCATTCTGTAACAATCAGTTTCACAATTTAATTATACACTACCTGAGAAGTACTTCCCTTTGTTTTCAACATATTGACTGGTAAGAACAAGGGAGGACTAGCAAAGTGAATTGTCAGAAATGGTAAATAATAATTTCCTATCCACCTTATCTATACCCTTTCAGGACATTAATCTCAGTTACTCCTTTTCCAAGTCAGAGGTGCAATCTAATTATTTCTCCTTTAAAAGCAATTCTGCACTTTGGATAATCCTTGCCACTTTATTGACAAGAAACCCACATAGAATTCAAAATCTGGGCCCCCATATAGATTTACATAATGAAAGCATGATGGTGTTTTTGTTTTGTCTTGTATTATTTCCTAATGATTGTTTTTCATTTTTTGATTGCTGCTAAGATTGGAGCAAGGTTTTAAAAGAACAGTAGTAGATGATTCCATGACTGACCCTCAAAAGCAACACCTAAGCTAGGCCTATCTTTTTTTTTTAGGTATAGCTACAGCTGTTTCTTCCTCATACATGTTACTTTTTACGTAAATCCACACAATTTCACCTAAAGAAACATAGCCCTCAGAACCTCTCATAGTCTCCATGCCAGCTGCACACATTTAGACTGCAAGTAACTTCAGTTTCCTCTTTGGGGGGAAAAAAACTTCCTCATTTTTCTTTCATCCTTTTACGTTAAACATGTTGTTTATTTTCCTCTGTTCCCGTCTTTCTTTGAGCCAATACATGCAACGTAAAAGAGGCTTGCAGAGCTGTGTATGTATGAAACTGAAATCCATGTTTCAGTATTAATAGTATTGACATCCGTTTTTATATACCCAAAAGCTCTTTTGTTTTTATCAGATTAACTGGTATAAACGTGCGTTAAGATTATGTATCTACCAATTATCTGTCCTTGGACCGTTAAAGCCATCATTACCCCTGGTGTTTACTTGCCTACCCTTGTTCTTACAGTCATCACTGAGATCTCAGCTGCTTCTACGTACTCCAGGAGTTTAAGGCACCATTATTTCTAGTTTTGCAAGACCTGGGGCAACATGGAAACTCCAGAATCCCTAAGCAGCGCTGTACACATGTGCTTTGTAAGGAAGAAAATACATTTTCACCATCAAAGGCCTCTAGAATCTTGTAAACTAGCAGCTAATTGTACAGTACATTTCACAGGACGAAACCTTCTAAGTCATAATTCTAATAAAGGTTCTGGCACTCCTAACATCCAGGAAAGTCATCAAATTACCTGCCATCTCCCAAGCAGACCTACACCACCTGCTAATTTAAACCAAACTCCCCAACTGTACAAACTGTACACTAACCCTTCTAACGTAACCACCACCTCCACCTTTTAGCAAACAACCCCGAGGCCGGCCCTGCAAGGTCAAGAGCTAGAATGTTCCCCTGCTCCACCCCGCCTGCCATAGCCGGCCCTCCCTCCTTCCTCATTCTGTGAAAATCGGGGG